GCGTTTCCTCCCAACTTTGGCTTCGCGCAGTATCATATGGAAAAGATGGTCAAGCGAGTTGCCGTACATGCCCCCAGTTGGAGCGATATCGGTGGTGGAAAGCTCGGCAGTACTCCGCCTTAGCCAGAGCTTGCGTTTCCAATATTTCCGTCAGCAGCTACTCTGATGGTCTGCATGGGCGAAGAGGACGCAAACCCTTTAAAGACTGGGTACAGCAAACTCCCTGCTGTCAATGCCGTACCGCTAAACCGGAATCAAGCGACGATCCACTTTGCTCGCTCCATTCGTTGCCTGACTCCTGCCGCAACTGGTGTGCTTGTGTTCTTCAGTTCTCCTACCTCGACTATCAAAAAAGAACAGGGGACAGTGCAACAATTTGGTGCTGCAGTTGTGCCATGAAAAGACTGCCCGCCTGCACGTTAAATCTTTCACCGAGTGTACCTTGGCGATGCTCAACCTACACAGCGTATCTGGACTGACGAGTATTACCCAGGGAGTTGGTATGGACCGCCCTCCATTTGCGCAGGTGGCCTATCTCAACATGAATACTCTGAGAAGTTACTTCTTGTAAATGTGGACGAAACTAACTGGCGTACTTTAGTCTATGGCGGCATGAATACTTCAGCAGCCTATAGCAGCTTGACAGTGTTGCCCATGGTGGTCGTGGATGCCCTTTATGGCGAGACCTGGACTGTTATTGAAGACGCAGTTCCCTTTCCTGCTTTTCACAAATGGCAAGTGTTTCCCAGCTACCCGTTCAACGATGACTTGCTCTTTAGAGGCAACAGAAGGACTCTATGGAAACTCGGCATTTCCTTTCAAGCACTCGCTAGAAACGTACTTGGCCGATTCAATGTGTTTGGTCGCAGCTGCCCTAAGAGAATGTGCTTGATCGACATCAATATTACAGACTATGAGGATATCATACTCATGGCGGGACAAGCGGGTACGCATATTGTACAGCAAGTCCATAGTATATTGCAAGCGACTACGACGCTCTATCTGATAGGCAACACAGATAGTACATATGTGCTCAAAGTTATCAAAACTGCACCAACCACTGCCGCTATCTAAGGATTGGAGCTCCGGAACCAGCCGCACGACTCTTGCGATATATTCTTGATTATTTCAGCGCTTCTCACTCTGACCACTCTCACTTGTCATATAAGTGGATCTGCGCCGAGCATAGAAGCGATACCTGCAAGCGAGCACCCGATAGCACTCTGCAAGAAGTATCGCCCCTTGAGCAGCAACTTTAGGCATCTGTTCGCACGAGAAGATGGTCGTGGTGGTAACAATTGAGGTAACGAGAGTGATAGTGACAACGACCATGGCGCATGACTGTCCCTGCTGTGGCGGATTCCATTCCGACAGTGATGAGGACCAAGACGACAATGCGGAACATAAAGAAGACAACGATGGCAAAGCCAAGAAAATAGCTGTCGTCGCTGCACAAACTGCCATACTTTGTCCTAAATTTATGCGTGTGGGTCTTCCCAGTGATATGTGTAAAGTATTCAGTCGTGAGATCGCTTTGGCCATGACTAGTGGTCCATTTTTGCCTTACTGCAACTCTCTAAGTCGCCTGATTTACCCGGAATAACTATAACTACTATAAATGCCATATTTAACAGGCTCAAAATTGATATTGCTTGATGTGTGATTTTCAAAGCCTGAACGATATCTATAGCCAGAGTTTAAATCTCTCACTCGGAATAGAATGACCAAATATTTTTTTTAATAAAAGCGAACCAAACCAAATGAAATCGAGCCCAAGCCAGCAGGATATGTAGAAGGGATGCGACAAAAAGTATACTTTAGCGGTTGATTTCTTTCTGAAGCGATTCTCATGACGTAGACGGCAACTTTTCTCATCTTTTTTAGAGGCACCAGCAGTCAGCTCTGGCCAATGCTCCACCTACCAGAGCGCAAATTCATGTCGCCGTATTCAAGAATGTTTGTCCCTCGCTAGAAACTCAAAGATAGGCGCCCGTGTATACATATTCTCTCTTTCCACAACCCTCACGAAATCACAAAATGTGCTACTCTTACTTGCATCATCACCAAGCCTCTTTTTCTTGCTCCAAATGAGAGCGGCTGACATAATATGCATGTCTTATTTTTGTTCCATGTTGCTCTTTTCAGCCCAATCCTCACTCATTTGCCAAATAGTGACTTGTGCAAAACAATTGGTGTGGGTCGGGCGATCCCGCACTGCAGGCCGGAGTGGCTTGGGAGGCAAAAGTTGGCACAGCAGTACAGCCATTTTTTGAGGCTGCGCACTCACTAGGCCTCGAGTATATAGCATCCACTTCCCTGCCTGCCTCTTCAGTCACTTTATTTCTTGCCAATTCCGACTTTTCGCTTATCGTTATTAATTTTATCTTGTCATATCGCCACTATATTTATACTATGGAATCAATTGAATACACCCGCCTCCTTGAGAACATTAGGAGGCTTATCGATGAAGGTGCTGAGCCTGGAGCCCCCATCCTCATAGAGATGGAGACTGACTTGCGCGCAATAGGCCTACTCCTCGTGCAGCAAGCAGGTATAGTGGCTGACCCAACGGTCTCAACTGTCGCCGCCCACAGCCCCACTGGTTTTAACAACGCGTCTGAAGTACCGCTTTCCAGGCGCCTACAGCTTGATCTTCAAAGGGGTGAGCACGTCGGCGAAACAGACGATGCTTACATATCATCGGACAAGTTGTTTGAAGACTTGTATGCTGATATTACAGCAGCACGACTATCCAAGAAATTTGGGCCATCTTCATTCATGGAGATGTCCAACCTTCCTACAGTCTACGAAGAGATATTCGGCTATTTTTCACTTCCTTACAATGTCAAGCCAGCTGAAAGCAACACGAAATTGGCTAATATGGAAGGGTTCAGATTATTCACGCTGCAGCAGTCGGGAATAAACTTGACATTTCTTCAGCGTCAAGGTTCGGAGTTCCAGCAGATGCGCCAGAATCTCAACCACTTGCTAGGGCAGAATGCCGCAGCGCCCGCCCCAAAGATTTGCTACATTCTGGTCACTTTGGCGTGTATGAAGTATGGTCAGATAACGGGTTCCCTTCTAGACGGTTTGTTTAAGGAGCTAACCGGACAGGACTTTGGGGTACGCAAAATCGCCACAGAGAAAGGTGTTCAGCAATTGTCGAGCAAAGCCTTGTGGGAAATGGCGAAAACTTGGCTCCTGAAGTTGTGCATGTTTCTCTACAACAGAGATGACATAAGGTCTTCGTTGGACATGGCCGCAGAGTGCTACAAGGAGTACAGAGCGAGATGCCCAGATGGCGGAGATATCAATACTGCCGAGACATATGACAAAATCAACAGCCAACTAGTACTCGGCATACGCCCGGATGACTTGCGAAGACTCTGCATCCGCCTTCCTTTCATGATGACTGACAAGCTTCGTAGCGAAATAATTGAGCGGCTGAAGTTATCTCTAGATATCTTGTTGGATAGGGCCGAATAGGCAATTTTTACATTATTCAATTGTTGTTCAGGACAATAAAGTGACTTTTTTATTACTAAATTGCGCTATTTAAAAGTGGGAAAAGCATATTTGGCTTTGGGGGCTCTAAATGATAGCGATTCCCAAAGATCTCAGTAGGTGATGTACATGTTAGCTGTGGTAAAGTCGGAATATTGATAAAGCACAGCATGCTCTAAGAAGGTGAAACATATGGTGCGTTGTAACCATAGCGTCGACTACTGTCAGAGCTAAATGAACTTGGCGATGTTAATTTGTTGCTTTCATGGGCAGCGTAGCTGGGTATAGCAGTCTGGAGTAACAAATACTTGTCCCCTTGTCATCATTGACTGTGCCGATTGCGGCCACTATGTCTAACTTGTGCTTGCATTTAAAAAGTCAGTCAGGGGCCATAGAGTTAGTTGTTTTTTGGCACAACATTTAAGCGCTGAGTTTATGTAGAATATCACAAAAGAAAGCACAATAAATTATCCTAATCCGAATAAAGTCAGTTTCCTCTCAGTGTATCCTGCGATCTTGGAGAAAAGTCATTAGAAGTATAAGGTGGTAGGGCATTAGAGGTGTCGGCGTCCTGGGAGGGTTGAGAATGGTTGATTGTATAGTCGGTATGGCTGTCCTGTGCGTTTGGCGAGTTTTGGAAAGATAACTTCCCGCTGAGCTCGTTTTCGCCCGGGTCGAAGTGATATAACCGGTTAGACACCAGTAACCAGCGAGTGTAGAAAGTGTGAGCAGCCTTGGTTTGCGTGAAAGCATACATAAAGTCTTGAATAATGTGCAGCATGAGCGTCAATTTACACCGGATAAACATGGCCTCACCAGAGTGCTCGATGCAGTCTAGGGATAGTTCTGCGCAAGCGCGGAAAATCTCCCAAACCGCCATCCCATGTAGGGCATCAGCATTTGGCAACTTGCTCCTCCAGGCGCCAAAGCCTATGTCGACCATACGTAGGTCGACCTGAAAGACGGTCCCAGCTGTATCTGAACGTAAAGCTTGAAGAAATTGCGAGACTCGCTGCCAGAAATCTTGGATGCGGGGACAAAACCAGAAGTAGTGTGTGATATTCTCGCTCTCTATCTCCTTGGTTACGTTGCTGGCGTCGTTAGATCGAGTAATAGCACTGCAGTACTTGCAAACGGGCTCGAGATCGGGTATGAAATGCAATAGTTTTGCAGCTGTCAGAACTGCAGCATAAGCCATTAGCCATAATAGTGAGAGGTGTTTGGCCTCGAGAGGGATCTTCGGCAGCCGATTCCAACAGCCTCTGGATATCCGTTGTTGTTCTCGCTACTTGATAATGTCTTTATGTTCTTTCCAGTCTTATCGGCGCGACCTCCGTATAAGCTGCAGTCGGTCACCCCTGTCGTGACGAGTATGCGTCTAGGGGAACACCCCCTAGTTGCAGACGAGCCCATGCCTATATAGATGTGCAAGGTTGTCTGCACAAAACTCCATTGAATTAGCGTATTTTAGGCTAGTACGCTAGCTTAAAACAAGGGTCGACTTGTCCGAGTGGTCTTAAGGAGTTAGACTTGAATAGGGCTTTGCCCTGAGCTATCTAATGGGCTCTGCCCGCACAGGTTCAAATCCTGTAGTCGACGTTTTTATTTCTTTTTGAAGACTTTTTATGGGAGACTGCAAACGTCATCTCGAATGCATACCTTGATTTTTTTTGCTCCGGGTCATGTAGTAGTCGTCCATAAAATGGAATCACATATACCTAAGCAGCAATGGTGATGAAATCATTGTATTGAAGCCCTGTATGGGCAAGAGCCATGATGCCTTGACATCGGAGACGGCTCTGAGCCTTAACTAATCCAAAAGAAATAAATATAAAAATCAAAGGGCATAGCCCCAACCACAAGCAAGAGGCTTTTGCCTCCCGGAATCTTAAGAATTACCTGTGTTCACGGACCGTAGACACCTGTCAGCTACGCAGTTCCAAACACATTGCATTAAAGTCTGTACCAAGCGAATAAAATAAACAAAGAGAAGAGAAAATAAAAGCAGAGGAGAGAAAGCCCACTCCTTCTTTCCGTCTCATTTTTGCAGTTTGCAGCTTGCAATTGCTACGGATTCCCAGGTACTTGGATTGACAGATATGAATGGACGATCACCCAACTAGTTTATTGAGCTGCTTAGAGTGAACGAAATACACAAACTGCTACAAGCAGCGTTGTAACAACCTTGCTCTATAATCATAAATATTTTTTCAGTGAGTGCCCAAGCTGCCGGGCATGAGGTAAGTACTCGTTAACAACGATGGTTTATGTAGAAATATCCCACCATTATTTGAGCGGCTTTGGTGACTACGGTATTGTCCACATCATCGAGAAAGGCGACAATGCCCTTTATTAACAAAATAACAAAGCTTCACTATTTGCAAGTGCACCTATCGCATAGAATGCTTTTAAAGCAAACCTTAGTTCTTGGGGTTCCCAAGCCACAGCTTCTTCGACCTTCTTTGAAGTGGCGCTGATTTTTAATCATTGCGCAGTTTGAGAAAAGATTGCACTACGTTTGGGGGAGGATTGGACCGCAGTCCGTTTTTTGCCTCTTCATGGCGAGTATATAATGCTCACTCGGCACCAGCCTTTCTTTCAATCGTTTGAAACAAAGTACTATTAAGATTTCTCTTTTCCTCACCATTTTCACATCACTACTAGTCTATCGCCATAATGCAACGCCTTAAATTGGACGACTCTACTGACCCCCACAATGTTATTGTTGTATACATTGAAGAGAGTAGTGTCAGAAAAGCATTTTATGAATTTCAATGTGGCGTTCTTACTAACCTAAACGCCTTGACGGCTGAAGAGCAGAGTCTTTGTATCTGTCACATATGAGCACTATGGATTAGGACGTCATAGGTGATATCAATGGCTGTTGTTGATGTTGATAATCATAGTCTTAGTTTAGTATTTATATGTTCACCCACTCAGCATCTAGGCTGGGAAGAGGGATCTTGCTTGGCTCTTGTTTGAAGAATTTATTATAAAAAAACCAGCCTTGTAACAGTATCTCTAAAGAGGTTAACAACGTTGACAGTCTTATTCGTGCCCAGTGTGACAAAACCTTTAAGTGGATTGGAGATTTAAACGAATCTGAGCCAGATAAAGAGCACTGCAAATATATTCTAGTTGGGAATGTGTACCATTGCTTGGGAATACTCAGTGTAATGACCGACACCGTTCATGTCAATAGTTCCGCCTAATTATTTCCAAAAATAAATTAGAGCATGCTGGGCGTATCGTCTATATTTACTTTACTCTCTCAATACTTCAAATCTCATTGATTTACATTGGGAAGAATTGGCTCTATAGTTTCTTCCGCCATAAGACAACTGGTGCTGAAAACACAACGCATTGCTTGTATTAGTTAGCGACAATCAAAGGGTCTATATGCTCCATGAGTACAAGTACGCATAATGAGGAAGCTAGATTCACGTACCGTAGTTTGAGGAAATTAAAATAAAGGTACGTTGATGTACAACCAAACAGTAAGGAAAAAGGGTATGTAGGGATGTGCTTCCTATTGCGCTCCAAGAGAGGCTGGCTGCGTGGTGCTGCTCTCTTCTCAAGCACTGCGGTGACTTTGCTGTCTACTCCCTTCTCTCCACCGCAGATTTGTCTATTGGCTAAAGTACAAGCACTGCTTAAAACTTTCAAAGAATGCTGTAGGTTTCAACCGTGGATAGTTTTACCGAGCAATAAAGCTCTAAGTCACCGTTCTAATGTCTCGTATTAA